CACATTTCGTATCCGCTATTTTGCGGGCCTCATCAACGAGTGTTATTTCTTGGCAAAATGAAAGAAGTATAGAAGTGTTTATTTATCAACTTCAAATAATGTTCTCTGATTAACTTTTGACACACTGCAAGACTCTTTAATGCTTAGCCAGCAATCGAGGATATTTGCTGTTGTAATATGGTCCCGTCTACTACGTGAACTATTATCTAAACGAAGATAAGCAAGATATTGAATATATATAATGTGCGCATAATGCTTTTTAGAAATACGTTTTTATGTATATCTGATGTTAATTTGTGACCATAAAATTCAATCGAATCCTTGGGTTAGAGTACAGTGACCACCACAAGTTGTTTTACACAAAAAAGTGATTACTACCTGCTTTTTTTCAGAAGTTGAAAACAGTACATAAGGTATTTGTATTGAAAAAGCTATATCTCATAACTTTTTACTGAAGTAATGTACTTAGATGTTTGTTGACGTATTTTGACGAGGCAGTAATAACCGCACGTACAGTGAATTCATGACGGGAATTTCTTTCCGCAGATGTATAGTGTATTTCTTAATTATTGGGTCATCTTTTTTATGACACATTCCTCTTTTTCCTTACCCACTAAGTCCTGTTCAATTTTCTTGTAGGTGTGTCATGTGATCTTAGTATGAATCCTGTTCGTATATGCTCATGGAATATCAATGGCATACGTTCCATTCAGCACCCGCTAAAATGCACTTTAGATTTACTTTCAGCTGATATAATTTGTCTGCAGGAGACTAAATCTACGTGTATGTGTATGCTAATTGCTAATACCTCCATAATTAAGCTGATATCAGTAGTGAATTCGCATTTGCAGATGATTACAATGGTTATTTCAGTCACAGTTTGCACAAATCCGGATACTCAGGCATGTTAATGTTTCATGAATTGATATAACAGGCGTTGCAATATTTTGTCGCAATCCCATCAAACCAACAAAAACTTATCATAGTTTAAATGAAATGATTGTTGAGTTCAGTTCTCTTGGATCTAGCAAATGTGAATTGACAAATGGATGGAAATTTCTGATGAATGAACTAAACATCTCCTACGCGGAAGCTCGTAACTTGGATGCAGAAGGTCGAGTACTGGCTCTTAAGTTTTCTGCTGATATTTTTAAACCAATTAGGACTAACTACGAAGTTCTGCCATTGGTTGTACTTTGCGTATATTTTCCCAGGTTGAATTCAGAAGATGTAAAACGTTTGAAATTCAAACATCTTTTCCAGCGTACTGTACAATTATGCACAGAATTCTTTTTGATAGAAAAGTAATCAATGGATTCGTTTTGATAAATGTATTTCAGCAACGTGGTTATTGCTGGAGATTTTAATATTTGTCACAAAGCGATTGATCACTGTGCTCCTGAAGAAATTGCGGTAAGCTTATTAAACGAAGTAGTGAATTATGAGGTTGTAATGTTAAAGTTTGGATGAAATGATCTTGGTTCAAAGTAGATAGAATATAAAAGGAGTTTAGTAAGTAAGGAGTATAGTAAACGTTCCTATATGCTATGGAAGTAGGATTTAAATTTTATTGTGCAGTTGATAGAGCATTTAGCTAGCAGTTTATGGATTTCTGGTCTAATTCATGCTGCTTTGTACCGTTTCGTTTCATCTTCGATAATTATTCCTGCAAATACAACAGTTTTGAACGTTGCGAAACGCTACTGGTTCAATTCTCTGCAACATTGAAGGGAACGAGTAACCGTAATGACGTATCGATCGTTTAAAGAGAGATGTATGCTGAATAAGTCTATATCACTATGAAAACAGCAAGAATAGCTGCTTATTTAAAAGAACCAATTTCACTCAAATTTTGACATACTGTTCGAAATGTCATTAAAACGAAATCAGTCAGTGAGTCAGAATAGGATGATAGCCTAATGAAGCGAGGAAATTACTGGTTAAAATATATCTTATTAGGATGAAAACCCGGCAAAAATGAACTGAAAGTAGTAAAACCAGTATTCCGACACGTATGGACCAAGAATTACGTAAGACAATCAGCGAATAAATGAGCGATAATCAGAAAACAAAATCCACTAAAAGATCATCTGTTCAGTTGTGTCGACTAAAATTTAGTGTACGTTTGGAGTGTAATTAAGAAACATTACTGTGATCACGTCAGTGCAGAAACCAAGTCACTAGTAAAGCTGAAGGTTGTGTTTTTATTTGAGTTGGAGCCTTAAGCAAATGCTCCAGTGTTATGTTAGGTGTCATTATTAGTGTGAACTTCATGGTGAGTGAATGAAATACACTCAGTGGCCTTGTGCACATTCGTGCAGTAGGTAGTGAGCCACACCTATTGTGTGAGGCCATGTAATACTACCCGGCTAGCCAAATCTCGTTAGGTGGAACGGGGCTAGAACCCGTGACCCAAACGAATGAGCCACAGGTCCATACGGTCGGATGAAGTCATCTACTTAGACATAACGATTAACGACATTCTTCTCGGACATATAATTTTAGTTTGACGCGTTTTATTTTGTGGTGGCCTCGACGAGGAGAATATTTGAATTGTTCTGTGTGATTATCTTGAGTAACTTCTAAATATCTCTTCGGTTTCCTGTGCTTAGCAACTGCACTATTACTTACTCCCCCAATCATCGGCTCTTCAGAACGTTCAAAATATGTGAGGTGATCCTGTCTCTTTCCTAATTGGTCCTGCAGATACAGGTGAATCGGCATAGGTAATCGGAAGAGCGATCCCTTTTGATTTTTCATAGTACCCAAGAAAACGATGTTCGAACTAGGTTTCTTTTAGGGCTTTTTCTAGGCGGTGCAGTGTCCAGTCAGCAAAGCCTGTTATCCTAAAAGCAACTAATTTCATAAAAACTTCTTTTAATTTCAAGTCCAAGTGTGAAGGTATGGTACTGACTGTGTCGGGATGAAACAGCTGTGAACAAACTTTTTGACTATATCCAAGTTGACCACCACGTCTATGCTAATTATTTGCAGTATGGTACAACTCAACAGCCACATGTAGTATTATGCACTAGCAATGGGTCACGCGTTGTGTCAAGGCTAGCAGTACTTCCTAGCCGCCTAAACCCTAGTAGTTGGGACGCGGTCGGAACTTATGACTCACTGGTTGAAAGTCAAGTGTCTAGACAAAAGAACTACACTATCTCAAATCGATTGGATGGTACACTAAAAAAATAAAAGGATCATCCTATTACTTGCCATTGTCTATACCCAATAACGGTATTTCAGATGGTGCAATAGGTCAGTTTAATCGGAAAAATACCCAGTGTTTCATAGAGTCAGACGTACATATGTAGTTTTCTCAGTGGGTGACGTCAGTGTATACAAATAGAAAGACTGGTTTATAAAGGATTTCAATTAGGCGATACTTTTGAGATTTTTCTTTAGAAGAATACCCATATTAACGTTGTGTTAAGTGTAATGTTGTGAGGATGATTACCTGTTACTAAAAATTTCACCATATCAATGGATGTTTCAGGTTCTTGCACTTTTTTATGCCACATATATTAATCAGATGGATAGTGTTTCAACCTCTTTTCGCCAGTGGTTCGATCAGCTGTTAATCGGGAAGCAACGAGATCAAGGTCTTGGCACCGATGAAAGTTTGGGTTTAGGAAGATTCGTGGATATTTTCAGGTACTTGATACATATTTCTTGTAAAGGATTCTCCAATTTTATACCGCTTGAGCTGACTGAGAACATTTATAAAACAAAATTCGATGCACAGCAGTTATAAACATGGATAGTTAAGTGTGTGTACCTCGTTTATTTAAGAAGCAAAGTGATGTTGCACGACTAGCGTCAACATCCATTTACATATACTGTACTCTGAGATTGTCTGTTGGGGAGGGGTGTACCTGAGAAATTTATCAACATCTTGAAAGCCCCATATAATAATACCTCAGGTAGAGTGAGGGCATGCGACTATCTGTCCTCATTGTCACAAACCAGCAATGGGGTTAGGTAGGGTTGTCCAGTTTTCCCATTTCTCTTCAACTTTGCCACCGATGGCATTTCTGAGACAGCTCTGAAGGAGGTGCGTGATGGTAGTGTAGATCTATTACCAGGAGAGTGGCTATTCGACCTCGAAAATACGGACGATATCGTCTCGCTGAGTGATAACACACAGGCTACTAAAATAGCACTTCATCAGTTGGCGATTAGTGTCCGTAAGTATGGTATGCGCTTTGCACCATCGAAGTGCAAAGTACTTTTGCAAGATTGGCAGGAGGTTGTGCCTGGGCTCACCCTTGGTGGTGAGCCATTGGAAGTAGTCGAAAGATCATGTATCTGGGCAGTTGTATGAGTGGTGAAATTTCCGACCGCATATCGAAAGCCACAGTGGCATATGCCAATATGAGCCACCTTTGGCGCCGTCGCGACGTTGGCCTGACCATGAGAGATCGGAATTATGTTCTACGCCTGTGCAACCTGGCCTCTCCGAGCTGAGGATGTGCGACGACTCGATGTGTTCGATCATTCTTGTCTGCGTAAGATTGCTTGTATCCAGTTGTAACACTATGTAAGTAATTCTGAGGTACGACAGCATGTGTCTGGGCATGGTGGAGACTGTCATTCAATAAGTGAAGTCATCCGGAAACACCAGCTTCGGCAGCTGGGATGTGTATTACGCATGTCTTCCCGAAGGCTTCCATACCAATCATATTTTGCTAGCTCTGGGACTGGATAGAGGAAGCGGAGTGTTGGTCAGTGTATGACGTGGCACCGTGTGATGAGGGACAGATGTATAGGGTTAGCATTTGATGGTGCATCACGATTCTCTGGGTGGGATCCAAGGGATCACACAACTCAGTGGTTTGAGACGTTGCCATATATGGTTCAGAATCAAAACCAATGGCGGTCATGCTATAGCTTCCTTCTATCTGCTGCTGCAGAAAAGTAATGGATGTTTTGCTTTGAATGGATCTTATTAGACTATTCTTCTAGTGATGCTATTATTAATGTTTTTCCTTTTTAATTATCCACTTCCCATCGTTTGTTTCTTCGCAATGTTATTATGCGATTTTGCGTGGCACATCTCTTTGTCATCTTGTTGTATCCTAATAATAACACATATAGATTTTTAAAAAGTTGTTCTGCACTTTTTGGAAACGGATTCTTTCTCTAAGGTGAACACAGCGACAGAATCTCAGAGTGGGTGTAGGAGATGAGGTCATCACAATGAGCTACTTGGATTATAAGAATGCAAATACACAGGCATATCATTCAATTAGTTCCCTATATAAACTTTTGGAAACCAAGACCAACAAAGATTGTGAGACGAATTGAATTGATTTACTATGCTCTAAATCTTCCACATAACTTATGCTGGACACTGATAGCTTGCTGTACAAAATTTTAAATTTAGTACGTATATAGGAGATTTAGAGGACTTAGAATGAATTTAATACACTCCACATAGGCATATGTTCCTCTTTTCTTAACATTAACTTCAGAGAGTAGATAAACCCGATAGAAAATTGATTGTTAAACGAAGTGAACAATTAGTACGTATTGTTCAGATCTCACTGTTCTTAAGGCGACTAGAAGGTTTGGCAAGAAACTAAATTTCATTTTTCTGTCCAATTCGGTTCATGTAAAAGCGGCACCCTGCAGAAATAACGTTTAGAAATGGCTGTATATGATCACTCATAGTCTTATGAACTTTTCGTAATCAGTTAAATTTTTATTTCAATCATGACGTTCTAAGAATATTTGGTTATGATATTAAGTGATGCGGCCACTTTAACCGCTGTTGGACTTTTTCAGATTTTTCTAGGTTTACTTTAACCACAGTGATTACCTCTGACAGTATATGACAACAGTGTAGTACTTACTGTTGTACTCAAAATGCAAAGCATCCGATCAACTGTCGATCTAAGATAAGCAATGTATACGAATCAAGGGAATGACATGTATTTGAGGTTCTAACTGTCTTGCTGACTCATAAAAGGGACATGTACTGAGAAGCATCTGACCACGTAGCCATCGTATATTAATATGATCTGTAAAGTCCACAGTTTTAAAACTAGGGCGAACGTCTAACATTAGAAGTATTACTGATGGCTTTACGTATGAGTTCCATCGAAAAGCTGTTGGAAGGGTTGAGTTTTTTTCTCTCGCTTGAATATGTTCCTTACCAAAAGATTAGTGAAAAATAGTTACTGAGGGAATCCCATTTTGTTGCCTGAAAGCCTGTACAATACGTAGAATTGATCTAGTTGGCAATTAGTACACGTCACAACAGTGGGCCATTTTCACTCTTTAATTTCACACACTGTCTCTGTTGATTTAACGTCAAAACTTACCTAAAAGTCTGCACATCCGTGTAGTTTGTTAAAGCCTACGTTATGCGTTTGCAGAGAGAAGAGAAAACTATACAATAAATGTCATCACAGCTTATTTTTCAGTAGACATCTATGATATTGACTTCAAACTAAGTTGAATGTAGTTTGAAATTTACTTAGATCGTTGAAATAAATAAACCTGATATTAACAGCTAACAATGATTAACGGTTGCTTTAATTGAAGGTTACAGTTTGTTTGGATGTCGCTCTTAGTGGCCTCAAATATAAAAGACAATGAAACAGCGGGTAGTTTTTATTGTGAAACTCATTGTGATCACTGATAGAATAACTAGTTCACTCCCCTGAATTATTCGCATACATCTTAATATTCTGTCTATTATTATTATTATTATTATTATTATTATTATTATTATTATTATTATTATTATTATTACCTTGGGTTCCTAGTGGAACATATGGCTTCAGTAGCATGCCTCCAGTGACCTCTGTTCTCTGAGATCTTTTGAACCTGGTCCCACGACAGCCCACAAGCTCTCATTTCCTCCTCGCACGACCTTCTCCATGTCACCCTCGGACGTCCAACTCGTCACTTCCCATGGGGAATTCCACTCGAGCAACTGGCCTGACGCGTGATGTCCTCCGTCGGCCTTCTCAGTGCATGGCCAATCCATCTCCACTTCCTCCTGCATATTTGTTGCGTGATAGGTTCTTGGTTGGTTCGTTCCCAGAGTTCCTTGTTGCTTATTTTTTCTTGCCGTCTGATCTTCAGTAGCGAGCGTAAGCAGTTGTTGATGAATGTCTGTAGTTTATTGGAAATACCTTTCGTGACGCGCCAAGTCTCTGAACCATACAAGAGCACTGACTTGACGTTGGTGTTGAAAATCCGTATCTTGTTCCACATGCTGAGTGCAGAAGATCTCCACACTGGTTTCAGGCTAATGAACGCCTGTCTTGCTTTTCCGATTCTGACTTTGACGTCCTCTTCCGTCCCGCCTGTAGTTGAAACAGTGCTTCCTAGATAAGTGAAGGAGGTTACTTCCTTCAAGTTTCTCCCGTTGACGGTGATTGGAGTTTGTTGTTGTTGTTGATGGTGGTGGTGCGGTATCTTCATCACTTCTGTCTTCTCTATATTCACCTGAAGTCCCGTCTTCGCTGCCTCTTCTGTCAACTTGTTAGTTTTTGCCTGTAGATCTTCAAGTTTATGTGACATCAGGCACAAGTCATCGGCGAAATCCAAGTCTTCTAGGTTCTTTTCCGTCGTCCAGTGTATCCCCCTCTTCTCGCTCCCCACTGTTTGCTGCATGATCCAGTCCACTACAATAAGGAATATCATGGGGGATAGTAGGCAACCTTGTTTCACTCCTGTCTTCACTTCAAAGGCATCACTGAGCTTCCCATTGTGGATTACTTGGCATGTGGCGTCTTCATATAGTTGTTGAATGAGGCGGATAAAGGTTTGCGGTACTCCGCAGTAGTGAAGCAGTTTCCAAATTACTTCTCGGTCGACGCTGTCAAAGGCCTTCTCAAAGTCGATGAAGTTGAGGTAGAGAGCTGATTGCCATTCTATGCTCTGTTCTATGATGATGCGAAGCGTTGCAATTTGGTCGGCACATGATTTGTACTTCCTGAAGCCTGCCTGTTCCGGTCGTAGTTTTGAATCCAGTGCATCTTTAAGCCCCTCCAGGATGATGCGGCTTAATATTTTACTTGGGGTGGACAGGAGAGTGATTCCGCGCCAGTTCTTGCAAACACTGAGGTCTCCCTTCTTCGGCAGTTTGACGAAGTAACCCTTCTTCCAATCGCCAGGTACCTTCTCTTCCTTCCACACCTTCTGCAATAGTGATGTGAGCATGTCCGCTGTTGTCTCTGCATCTGTTCTCAGTGCTTCTGGCGGTATCCCATCTGGGCCTGCTGCTTTCCCGCATTTCAGTAGCTTTATGGCGTTCAGGACTCCCATTTCTGTTGGAGGATTTATGTTCACTTGTAGTTCAGCGGCTGCAGGTGGTATTTCTGGACGAAGTGCAGGTGGTGGTAGTGGTCGATTCAAGAGCTTCTTGAAGTGGTCGGCCCATTGTTTCCTCTGTTTCTCTTCTTTTGTAATTAAATTTCCTTCTTCATCTTTCATTGGTTTCATCTGTGTTGGTCTCTTCCCAGATAGCAACCTGGTTATTTGATACAATGTCGTCAGGTCTCTCTTATCTGCAGCCTGTTCTGCTTCACTTGCCAGTGTTTCGTAGAAGTGTCTTTTGTCTTTGCGTGCACTCTTCTTCACTTCTTTGTCCAGTGTAGTGTTTTATACATTGTGCTCAGTTCCTCTTGTCGTTGAGCATCCTTGCACTGGTTTATCTTCTGCTTCACCATCCTCCTCTCCTCTATCAGCTTCCAGGTATCCGTCGAGATCCATTCCTTGTCTTTTTCCTTCTTCCTTCCTAATACGGCTGTGCAGGTTTCTTTCCACATAGCTTTCAAAGACTTCCAGTGTTCTTCCACACAGGTTTCTTCCCGGATGTTCCTCGATATCTCCCATTTTGTCTTGATGGCTGCCTTGAAGATCTCCTTTGTAGTTTCATCCTTCAGTTTCCGAGTGTTGTACTTGAATTGAGGTCTATCACCAGCTTCCTTGAAGGCTTTTAACTTGATTTGGAAGGTTCCTTGCACTAGATGGTGAGTGGTCTGAACCTACATCCGCTCCTCTTCTTGACCTTGTGTCAAGTAAACTGCGTCTCCATTTTCTTGAGATTGAGATAAAGTCGATTTGATTTTTAGTGTGTCCATCTAGTGAAATCCATGTCGCTTTGTGGATATCTTTGTGCCTGAACACACTGCCTCCAATCACCAAATCGTTGAATGCACAGAATTCTGCAAACAGTTCTCCATTCTCATTCATTTCACCTAGCGCCTCTTGACCCATGGTTAGTTCTCTTCCCGTGTTGTCCCCTCCCAGTTTGGCATTCATGTCGCCCATTAGAATTTTGATATCGCCAACTGGCGTCTTGTCCAGTGTTGATTGAAGTTGTCTGTAGAATTCCTCCTTTTTCTCTTGCTCTGCATTATTTGTAGGTGCATAACATTGTATGATTGTGACCTTCCTTCCTTCCTTTTGAGTTGAACTTTGCTGTCATGATCCTGCAGAAGGAGATTGGTTCCCACTGCATGAGAGCCTTCGACACTCTTGAGGACATCATGATAGCCACTCCCTCAGTGTGCTCGTGGTTGGCGTCTGGGTGACCGGAGTAGATTATTGACTCTCCAGTTGACAGTTTGGAGAGTCCACTCCCATTCCATCTGCTTTCGCAAATCCCAAGCACTTCGATGTTATACCTTCTCATCTCTTTTGCAATCTGGGCTGCCTTACTGGGTTCAAACATCGTGCGGACATTCCATGTCCCCACGTTTACTTTCGCTTTCATCGAGAGAAGACACATCGGCGAATTGGCTTCCCGAAGGCTCTCATCAACCAGCGTCATTTCGCCTCTCCGATTCCAGCGGGGAATAAGTTTGTTTTCATTTTTTATATTTTGTTTGTGCTTTGAAGTTTCTTTAGCGGTTAGATTTGTTTTACGGGGTAGGTTTGCTAGCCCTATGCCCAACCTTCCCTCTTTACCCGGGCTTAGAACCGGCTAGTAACTAGTGAACTAGTTAACCAGGCGAGGTTTAAAATTCTGTCTATTTTCGTGTAATTCATTAGGCTGCTGCATCCCGATCAAGAGAATGCTTTCACCTGCTGGTCATTGCGTACGAATGCTCGTCAAACTAATTATGGAGTTAGACTAGATTATATCCTACTGGACTCCCAACTTGTGGATTTGATCACATCATCGAATGAAGCACTGCAAGCAGATTTAATGCCAAATATAAGCGGATCAGATCACTGTCCAGTATATGCGGATTTACCATATTTTTACAACACAAATTTGGATTTTTTCCATTTCTTTCCGCTTAAATGTTCTCATTACTGGCCCCAGTGCCAAACGAAACAGATTCAACTAAACAACTTCCTGGTCCCAAAACGTCTTTCCACAGTATCTGAACAAGCTAGTCTCCCGAACACTTCAGTTGATATCTGCTGTTTGGAAAGTTTAGATGTTAAAAGTAAAAATTCCAATCTCAAGCAAGCAAAAATCACTTTTGGTGGTGAGTAATTTTCAATATTTGCTTGAGTGATAAAATATTGATGTTAACAGTTTCATTTCGATGCGATTCTGAAATACGATTGATATCCTTTATACAGCTTACTTTTCCGGAAATGTTAATCACACTATTTCTATCCCTTTCAGCGTCAAAACATAGCGAAAGTTGTTTACTACATTTAATCACTATTGTTTAGGATAACGTTTCTGTCTAATACCTATAGCTGTACTGACGATTACTTTTTGTTTTTTCAGGGTTCATTGCAACAAAAATGACATGTAAAGATGTACAGCTGTCAAGTATAGGAGAAAGCACTATCACTCTCGGAAGGAAAGATACTGATCTGTCTAGAGCAGCACAGTCGAGTGAAGCTTGGCGAAATTTACTGTCAGGACCAAAGAAACCCCCTCTATGTCTTCTTCATAAGGAACCCTGTGTTATGAGGACCGTGAAACAGGTGAGGACCACTAAAGGAAATCGATATGGAAGGCGATTTTGGGTGTGCGCACGACCCCAAGGTGCTTCAGATAACCCAGCTGCACAGTGCAACACATTTTTTTGGGATGATCAAGTGCCAAAAAACAGTAACAAGTCACTCAGATGATACATTTTTCATTGTTAGTAAAAAATTAAGTTAAAATTAAAAAAAAACTGTTTAACACAAGTAGTAAAAGTATAGGAAGAAAGCAGAAATGAAGTGTTTGAAAAGCTTTCATAGTCTTTTTACCCAGTATACTCATGAAAGAAAATAATGCGACTAGTTGCTTTTTTTTAACTAATCATTACAAGCCTTTGGTATGTGATATATCACAACTTCGAACTAGTTGAACGAGATCTACTGAGGGTTAGGTTGTCAGATTTGCTGGTATTTGGGGTTGGTTTAGTGATTTCGCGTTGTGTAGCAGCTGTAAGCTCTCTGAAGCGCCTCATGATTAGTATAAGTGCTCTTTCTTGACGTGCTATGGGCTCTTGTGAACGCATGAGTGGATGCCATCTGACATAATATCCTGTCCAAAACTGAAGTTGAGCTAAGGCATGCTGAGGGAAAATCACACGATGACCACTGATTTCAGCTGGAGTATACAGTGGATTTTGGTACGATTTGATATCGGAGTTGATAAATGCCCATAAAGAAATAGTTCTTTCACGTACACCATGGTCACGTCCTTGCATTTCTGAATTAAATAGAAACGTTCCAAATCGTGCAGCATATAATTCATCCATGATGGTTATAAGAAATCGTTCATTGAATTCAAATGAGTGGGGGAATTGCTGCATTGTTTGCCATACACAGTCAATGAATTGTAGGAATACTGGAGAACGCTCTTCAACACTAGAGGGTCGTTCTGTAGTGGAGTCATTAGTGACTGTAGTTGATATATTGGGAGGTAAGTAAATACCGCCGTCTGCAGGTCCACCAGTGCGCTGCGCAAATTTATGACCGAATGAACACCATTCCTTCTCTACCAAAACTTCAAATCCACGTACTGTGCGGTAATACGGATCCAACATCAACATTGCCAAAGATGTAACTTGTGCTGTTCGATCCCAACCATCTGAACAGTGGATCAACACAGAAGTTTTATGGTTTTCAATCTAAAATTCCAAGAAACAGATAAGAGTTAGTCGCATGTTGAATCATTCACTGTTTACTAACGATCATAGAAATAAATTTGCTGGAGGTTTCGTATGTTTAACTCACGCTTAGGTTAAAACTACGCTTGGATTTTTCAGGTTCCCAGAAAAGTATATTTCGATAAGACAATTTCATGACAGCTTGTAATGTATGTACCTTCTGATTTGTTGTTCAATCGTGGTATTCATTTTGTTACTTGTATTTCACAATGAATCAACAACTAAACAAGGTTTTTCTTCTCGAATAATTGAAGACATAAGGAAGCTACAGCAAGACCGTCGTTAATTTCAATTTAGAGCCCTTGAGTTGCAAGATCTTTGTGATCTCAAACAAGGAATCGCGTCTGCAAACGCCTAACCAACTTAAAAGTAGGATTTGGGCATTGTGGTAGCGTATAATCTCATATCATATTCTTGATACAATTATGAGAGATAACTTGTGCTCAAAACGTCATCTAGTTAATAGTGCTGTTTCACTGTGATAGACACAATAGGAGGAAAAAAATAGAATAGGATACAGTTACTTCTATCAACCATCGAACAACTTTAGGATTTCACCTAGATCAGTGAATACGGCTCTAGCTTTCAGCATACGTTTGATGACTATCAGCCACACCAAAAATAACTTCGATATGCTATCTTTCATCTGCGAGGGTGGGTGCAGATATGATTTCCCACCTATATTGCAAAGTAGCTTCCACTTTGTCGGTGCAAAGCACAGTTACGAATACCGATTAGTTACTACTTAAGTAGTTAGTGTTTTGTTGCATAGTAAGGTGATCTCTGCATACTCAAGGTAGCAGATCTAAACTACTGCTGTCATTCCTTCAAAACTGTCCATAGTGAGGTTGAAAAAGAATGACGAAATCGGTCAATCCCAACTTACTCAGCCGATGGTTGGAAGTGTGGAGATAGGTTGTCTGTTTTTGCTCTATCTGAAGTATTTCTGCATCAGTATACTGACACACCTCCTAGTCAAGAATATTCTCTCTGGTAAGCTGAAGTTATCTAACGATCTGAATATACCCTTAATACTACAAGACAGCAATTGTTGGTCTATACCGAGATGTGACAGCAGATGGCAGAGAATGGACATGTGGTCAGTACATGATGAACCTTAGACGAAACCTCGCCTCCTCGCGAACTGACTTTCGCGCGTTTTTTCCCTAGTTTACGATGTGCCGTAGTAACAAGTGTCTTGTAAGTACAGCCAGTGCTCACTGATACTTTCTGGAGGTGATCCACCTAGTATTAAGTCTCGCTCAATCTACTTACATTATTAACTGCAACCCTTTTTGGTACCACTATTTCGATGTCCATCGAACTTGGCAGACACTAAAGCGTGACTAGAGTCCGAATAGATTCTAAAGAAAGGATGGAAGTCGCGTAAAATCCACACAGGCAGCTAATTGGGCAAAGGCTTGAGTGCGAGAGAGAACTGGTTGGAGATAAACCACAACTGTATCGAAATTCAGTGCTTGTTAGAAGTAGGTGGTGCTACGCACAAAGCTGTCAGAGACCGACTAGTCTTCATTGACCACGTAAATGGCTGTCGTATGCGCCTAAGTGCCAGACCTGTGCATTTAACTCCGAGCTGACACTATGATATTTGTCAAGTGCATCTAGAAGAGAACGTCACTCAGTTGATGGCATCAGGGATGCAGTCTAGCACATCATACAGAGGGGTGACGAAGACATATCGTTTCTTGTCCAAATTACTTTTTACTCTAACCGAACGCGTAGTTTAACAGCACACAGAAGACCACTAGTGAGGACTTAATCCGTACACCATCGGCTAAAGTACTTAGGGTGATACCGGCACTGCTGAGATCAGATCCCGACACCATAGGATCCTCAGTTAGGTGCATATGACAGGTGGGGAGATATTTAAAAAAGTTCACAGGATAGGAAGTACATGATTCGTCTTTTAAAATACAGTGACATAGTATACTTCATAGGAATGGTGGCAACCCCAGAGTAATACAACATACCATTTGATTCAACCGTCAGTAAATCTAACCCGTTTGCACAATCACAAGTATAGAACTGACAAGTTAATTCTCACTAATATCAGGAGTCAAACGAAAGGAATTTTCAGCGTGCTTGGAATATATTGTGACCCCTCGTCCCCTGAATTGGTTCAACACAAACCGTACAAATAATTGGGGCCAGAATATGAAGGGGAAATATTTGGATCAAACTGTTAGACGGAGTACTGAAACGTTTTTTCCTCAAGTTAAAGGCTTGTGTAAGAAAATCTTATTTAGAAAATTCTTCTTGAGTCAAAGATCGAAACCTTAATCTCTGCTCGTAATAAGACTTATTTAGACTGCTGTGGCTACATGAATGGTTTTTTGAAGGAATGGCTAAGTGATACGAGTTTTTGAAGTACCTTCACTTTTTTTATTTGCACACACTATTATACAACAATAATTTCTAAAAAAAAGCATATAGAAGATGCTAAACTAATGCAAAGGAAGTCGTAGTTTGGTTGTTAGCATGATAAAAGTTGCCCCCAAATGCTCTGCCAAAGAAGTTCTACTCACTGCCTCCACGTGGCAGGGGTTATCACAGAGCTGAAAGGGTACAAGCGAGTCTCTTGCTTGTCACTGAGGGTCTACCTGGGGGATTTGGAACACCCTGATTTCAAACCAATGGTCCTCATGGGCTTCAGGTTCCAGATGGAACGAATGGCGTCTGAACCTATTTTGGTCAACGCAACCATGGGAATGCAGCATTTGATGTTGTTTCACTGCCTTGGGGATTAGACTTTAAGTCAAAAGCTCGGAAAGTGGTCACCTAAGACAACCGCATGCTTTGGTCTGGGCGCCCGGACAGTATCTCAGCCCTCATACAAGATGTGAATTTGATTGTATTTACATATGAACTATATTTTTTTTACTACCATTTTCACTTTTTTTTTAATCTCAACTTTACTCAGCTGCTTAGACCGTTTTGAGTCGATAAACAGCTGTCCACACAAAGCTGACCTCCAATGCGACATCTGACACAACTATCCTGAAATCACACATACTGTTTAAGCTCGCCAACTTTAATGGTCGCACCTTGACCCACATCGAACAACAGGCAGGCTTGGCTAAGACTCTGAAAAGCCTTGCTATTGATGTATGCTGCGTCTCAGAGACCCGCATACAAGATCGCAGTGAAGTACTGCAAATTAATTCCCCATCTGTCAGCTCGAAAAGTATGTTTTATGTACGCATATCCGTGGACCCTGTGGCATCGGTAACCGGTACCGCACTAAGCGCTCGAGCCGAAGTTGTACTACTAAACTCTGTTGTTGGACTAGAAGGTTCAACTCGAGTATGAAGTGGTAAGAGAAATGATGACTCCGTCATCTCTGCCCATGCTCCGACGGACTGCAGCCAAGGATGAATTCTACCATCAACTGAGTGACCCTCTCAACCAAGTGCGCTCGATAGATATCTTAGTGCTAGCTGGGGACTTGAATGAGCAGGTCGGGGGTCTAAGATCAGAGGAGAGTCGTTTAGGTGGCCAATAGGGACTGGTTGGTCGCAAGTCGGATAATGGGGATCGTCTTCTGGAGCTTTGCGCAGATCACTACCTATTTCCAGTCAGCATCAACTTTGGGCACAGTCATCGCCGTTGTGCTGCTTGGTATCCTCCCTCTATCACTCAAGCCTGGACTCAAATAGATCATACTGCAACCTGCTGCCGACGGCGTGGGTGCATACACAACCGTCGACCCATATAGAGTACTTGTCTGGATTCTGATCACGCTGTGGTGTGTGCTAAGCTCACCTTGAGTCTTGAAGTTCGTCAAAACCATCATCCTACACAGGTCGATTAAAGCAAAGAAGTTGCACCTAACATTGCAGCTAAATACCAATCCGAACTAGATTTAAAGCTGGCTACCAATCCTTCAGAAAGTGTAAACCATGCGATGAAAATGGCGAGTAAAGCCGCTTGCGGCTCGGAAGAACGTCCAGCTAATAAACACTAAGTCTCTATGAGCTCCCTGCAACTTCTTGACGCCCATTGGGCCATCCCCGCAAATAGAGAGTACAATGATTTGCGTAAGTCTCTTACACGAAAGATTGAACAACACTTACGCAGGAACCATTGGGCTTGGTGGTTAGAACGCGCGAGTGCGATAGAGGCAGTAGCTGCAACCGGCAACAGTCAGTGAAGAGATAAGAAACCAAGTCACCAGTAAAGCTGAAGGTTGTGTTTTTATTTGAGTTGGAGCCTTAAGCAAATGCTCCAGTGTTATGTTAGGTGTCATTATTAGTGTGAACTTCATGGTGAGTGAATGAAATACACTCAGTGGCCTTGTGCACATTCGTGCAGTAGGTAGTGAGCCACACCTATTGTGTGAGGCCATGTAATACTACCCGGCTAGCCAAATCTCGTTAGGTGGAACGGGGCTAGAACCCGTGACCCAAACGAATGAGCCACAGGTCCATACGGTCGGATGAAGTCATCTACTTAGACATAACGATTAACGACATTCTTCTCGGACATATAATTTTAGTTTGACGCGTTTTATTTTGTGGTGGCCTCGACGAGGAGAATATTTGAATTGTTCTGTGTGATTATCTTGAGTAACTTCTAAATATCTCTTCGGTTTCCTGTGCTTAGCAACTGCACTATTACTTACTCCCCCAATCATCGGCTCTTCAGAACGTTCAAAATATGTGAGGTGATCCTGTCTCTTTCCTAATTGGTCCTGCAGATACAGGTGAATCGGCATAGGTAATCGGAAGAGCGATCCCTTTTGATTTTTCATAGTACCCAAGAAAACGATGTTCGAACTAGGTTTCTTTTAGGGCTTTTTCTAGGCAGTGCAGTGCCCAGTCAGCAAAGCCTGTTATCCTAAAAGCAACTAATTTCATAAAAACTTCTTTTAATTTCAAGTCCAAGTGTGAAGGTATGGTACTGACTGTGTCGGGATGAAACAGCTGTGAACAAACTTTTTGACTATATCCAAGTTGACCACCACGTCTATGCTAATTATTTGCAGTATGGTACAACTCAACAGCCACATGTAGTATTATGCACTAGCAATGGGTCACGCGTTGTGTCAAGGCTAGCAGTACTTCCTAGCCGCCTAAACCCTAGTAGTTGGGACGCGGTCGGAACTTATGACTCACTGGTTGAAAGTCAAGTGTCTAGACAAAAGAACTACACTATCTCAAATCGATTGGATGGTACACTAAAAAAATAAAAGGATCATCCTATTACTTGCCATTGTCTATACCCAATAACGGTATTTCAGATGGTGCAATAGGTCAGTTTAATCGGAAAAATACCCAGTGTTTCATAGAGTCAGACGTACATATGTAGTTTTCTCAGTGGGTGACGTCAGTGTATACAAATAGAAAGACTGGTTTATAAAGGATTTCAATTAGGCGATACTTTTGAGATTTTTCTTTAGAAGAATACCCATATTAACGTTGTGTTAAGTGTAATGTTGTGAGGATGATTACCTGTTACTAAAAATTTCACCATATCAATGGATGTTTCAGGTTCTTGCACTTTTTTATGCCACATATATTAATCAGATGGATAGTGTTTCAACCTCTTTTCGCCAGTGGTTCGATCAGCTGTTAATCGGGAAGCAACGAGATCAAGGTCTTGGCACCGATGAAAGTTTGGGTTTAGGAAGATTCGTGGATATTTTCAGGTACTTGATACATATTTCTTGTAAAGGATTCTCCAATTTTATACCGCTTGAGCTGACTGAGAACATTTATAAAACAAAATTCGATGCACAGCAGTTATAAACATGGATAGTTAAGTGTGTGTACCTCGTTTATTTAAGAAGCAAAGTGATGTTGCACGACTAGCGTCAACATCCATTTACATATACTGTACTCTGAGATTGTCTGTTGGGGAGGGGTGTACCTGAGAAATTTATCAACATCTTGAAAGCCCCATATAATAATACCTCAGGTAGAGTGAGGGCATGCGACTATCTGTCCTCATTGTCACAAACCAGCAATGGGGTTAGGTAGGGTTGTCCAGTTTTCCCATTTCTCTTCAACTTTGCCACCGATGGCATTTCTGAGACAGCTCTGAAGGAGGTGCGTGATGGTAGTGTAGATCTATTACCAGGAGAGTGGCTATTCGACCTCGAAAATACGGACGATATCGTCTCGCTGAGTGATAACACACAGGCTACTAAAATAGCACTTCATCAGTTGGCGATTAGTGTCCGTAAGTATGGTATGCGCTTTGCACCATCGAAGTGCAAAGTACTTTTGCAAGATTGGCAGGAGGTTGTGCCTGGGCTCACCCTTGGTGGTGAGCCATTGGAAGTAGTCGAAAGATCATGTATCTGGGCAGTTGTATGAGTGGTGAAATTTCCGACCGCATATCGAAAGCCACAGTGGCATATGCCAATATGAGCCACCTTTGGCGCCGTCGCGACGTTGGCCTGACCATGAGAGATCGGAATTATGTTCTACGCCTGTGCAACCTGGCCTCTCCGAGCTGAGGATGTGCGACGACTCGATGTGTTCGATCATTCTTGTCTGCGTAAGATTGCTTGTATCCAGTTGTAACACTATGTAAGTAATTCTGAGGTACGACAGCATGTGTCTGGGCATGGTGGAGACTGTCATTCAATAAGTGAAGTCATCCGGAAACACCAGCTTCGGCAGCTGGGATGTGTATTACGCATGTCTTCCCGAAGGCTTCCATACCAATCATATTTTGCTAGCTCTGGGACTGGATAGAGGAAGCGGAGTGTTGGTCAGTGTATGACGTGGCACCGTGTGATGAGGGACAGATGTATAGGGTTAGCATTTGATGGTGCATCACGATTCTCTGGGTGGGATCCAAGGGATCACACAACTCAGTGGTTTGAGACGTTGCCATATATGGTTCAGAATCAAAACCAATGGCGGTCATGCTATAGCTTCCTTCTATCTGCTGCTGCAGAAAAGTAATGGATGTTTTGCTTTGAATGGATCTTATTAGACTATTCTTCTAGTGATGCTATTATTAATGTTTTTCCTTTTTAATTATCCACTTCCCATCGTTTGTTTCTTCGCAATGTTATTATGCGATTTTGCGTGGCACATCTCTTTGTCATCTTGTTGTATCCTAATAATAACACATATAGATTTTTAAAAAGTTGTTCTGCACTTTTTGGAAACGGATTCTTTCTCTAAGGTGAACACAGCGACAGAATCTCAGAGTGGGTGTAGGAGATGAGGTCATCACAATGAGCTACTTGGATTATAAGAATGCAAATACACAGGCATATCATTCAATTAGTTCCCTATATAAACTTTTGGAAACCAAGACCAACAAAGATTGTGAGACGAATTGAATTGATTTACTATGCTCTAAATCTTCCACATAACTTATGCTGGACACTGATAGCTTGCTGTACAAAATTTTAAATTTAGTACGTATATAGGAGATTTAGAGGACTTAGAATGAATTTAATACACTCCACATAGGCATATGTTCCTCTTTTCTTAACATTAACTTCAGAGAGTAGATAAACCCGATAGAAAATTGATTGTTAAACGAAGTGAACAATTAGTACGTATTGTTCAGATCTCACTGTTCTTAAGGCGACTAGAAGGTTTGGCAAGAAACTAAATTTCATTTTTCTGTCCAATTCGGTTCATGTAAAAGCGGCACCCTGCAGAAATAACGTTTAGAAATGGCTGTATATGATCACTCATAGTCTTATGAACTTTTCGTAATCAGTTAAATTTTTATTTCAATCATGACGTTCTAAGAATATTTGGTTATGATATTAAGTGATGCGGCCACTTTAACCGCTGTTGGACTTTTTCAGATTTTTCTAGGTTTACTTTAACCACAGTGATTACCTCTGACAGTATATGACAACAGTGTAGTACTTACTGTTGTACTCAAAATGCAAAGCATCCGATCAACTGTCGATCTAAGATAAGCAATGTATACGAATCAAGGGAATGACATGTATTTGAGGTTCTAACTGTCTTGCTGACTCATAAAAGGGACATGTACTGAGAAGCATCTGACCACGTAGCCATCGTATATTAATATGATCTGTAAAGTCCACAGTTTTAAAACTAGGGCGAACGTCTAACATTAGAAGTATTACTGATGGCTTTACGTATGAGTTCCATCGAAAAGCTGTTGGAAGGGTTGAGTTTTTTTCTCTCGCTTGAATATGTTCCTTACCAAAAGATTAGTGAAAAATAGTTACTGAGGGAATCCCATTTTGTTGCCTGAAAGCCTGTACAATACGTAGAATTGATCTAGTTGGCAATTAGTACACGTCACAACAGTGGGCCATTTTCACTCTTTAATTTCACACACTGTCTCTGTTGATTTAACGTCAAAACTTACCTAAAAGTCTGCACATCCGTGTAGTTTGTTAAAGCCTACGTTATGCGTTTGCAGAGAGAAGAGAAAACTATACAATAAATGTCATCACAGCTTATTTTTCAGTAGACATCTATGATATTGACTTCAAACTAAGTTGAATGTAGTTTGAAATTTACTTAGATCGTTGAAATAAATAAACCTGATATTAACAGCTAACAATGATTAACGGTTGCTTTAATTGAAGGTTACAGTTTGTTTGGATGTCGCTCTTAGTGGCCTCAAATATAAAAGACAATGAAACAGCGGGTAGTTTTTATTGTGAAACTCATTGTGATCACTGATAGAATAACTAGTTCACTCCCCTGAATTATTCGCATACATCTTAAAATTCTGTCTATTTTCGTGTAATTCATTAGGCTGCTGCATCCCGATCAAGAGAATGCTTTCACCTGCTGGTCATTGCGTACGAATGCTCGTCAAACTAATTATGGAGTTAGACTAGATTATATCCTACTGGACTCCCAACTTGTGGATTTGATCACATCATCGAATGAAGCACTGCAAGCAGATTTAATGCCAAATATAAGCGGATCAGATCACTGTCCAGTATATGCGGATTTACCATATTTTTACAACACAAATTTGGATTTTTTCCATTTCTTTCCGCTTAAATGTTCTCATTACTGGCCCCAGTGCCAAACGAAACAGATTCAACTAAACAACTTCCTGGTCCCAAAACGTCTTTCCACAGTATCTGAACAAGCTAGTCTCCCGAACACTTCAGTTGATATCTGCTGTTTGGAAAGTTTAGATGTTAAAAGTAAAAATTCCAATCTCAAGCAAGCAAAAATCACTTTTGGTGGTGAGTAATTTTCAATATTTGCTTGAGTGATAAAATATTGATGTTAACAGTTTCATTTCGATGCGATTCTGAAATACGATTGATATCCTTTATACAGCTTACTTTTCCGGAAATGTTAATCACACTATTTCTATCCCTTTCAGCGTCAAAACATAGCGAAAGTTGTTTACTACATTTAATCACTATTGTTTAGGATAACGTTTCTGTCTAATACCTATAGCTGTACTGACGATTACTTTTTGTTTTTTCAGGGTTCATTGCAACAAAAATGACATGTAAAGATGTACAGCTGTCAAGTATAGGAGAAAGCACTATCACTCTCGGAAGGAAAGATACTGATCTGTCTAGAGCAGCACAGTCGAGTGAAGCTTGGCGAAATTTACTGTCAGGACCAAAGAAACCCCCTCTATGTCTTCTTCATAAGGAACCCTGTGTTATGAGGACCGTGAAACAGGTGAGGACCACTAAAGGAAATCGATATGGAAGGCGATTTTGGGTGTGCGCACGACCCCAAGGTGCTTCAGATAACCCAGCTGCACAGTGCAACACATTTTTTTGGGATGATCAAGTGCCAAAAAACAGTAACAAGTCACTCAGATGATACATTTTTCATTGTTAGTAAAAAATTAAGTTAAAATTTAAAAAAAAACTGTTTAACACAAGTAGTAAAAGTATAGGAAGAAAGCAGAAATGAAGTGTTTGAAAAGCTTTCATAGTCTTTTTACCCAGTATACTCATGAAAGAAAATAATGCGACTAGTTGCTTTTTTTTAACTAATCATTACAAGCCTTTGGTATGTGATATATCACAACTTCGAACTAGTTGAACGAGATCTACTGAGGGTTAGGTTGTCAGATTTGCTGGTATTTGGGGTTGGTTTAGTGATTTCGCGTTGTGTAGCAGCTGTAAGCTCTCTGAAGCGCCTCATGATTAGTATAAGTGCTCTTTCTTGACGTGCTATGGGCTCTTGTGAACGCATGAGTGGATGCCATCTGACATAATATCCTGTCCAAAACTGAAGTTGAGCTAAGGCATGCTGAGGGAAAATCACACGATGACCACTGATTTCAGCTGGAGTATACAGTGGATTTTGGTACGATTTGATATCGGAGTTGATAAATGCCCATAAAGAAATAGTTCTTTCACGTACACCATGGTCACGTCCTTGCATTTCTGAATTAAATAGAAACGTTCCAAATCGTGCAGCATATAATTCATCCATGATGGTTATAAGAAATCGTTCATTGAATTCAAATGAGTGGGGGAATTGCTGCATTGTTTGCCATACACAGTCAATGAATTGTAGGAATACTGGAGAACGCTCTTCAACACTAGAGGGTCGTTCTGTAGTGGAGTCATTAGTGACTGTAGTTGATATATTGGGAGGTAAGTAAATACCGCCGTCTGCAGGTCCACCAGTGCGCTGCGCAAATTTATGACCGAATGAACACCATTCCTTCTCTACCAAAACTTCAAATCCACGTACTGTGCGGTAATACGGATCCAACATCAACATTGCTAAAGATGTAACTTGTGCTGTTCGATCCCAACCATCTGAACAGTGGATCAACACAGAAGTTTTATGGTTTTCAATCTAAAATTCCAAGAAACAGATAAGAGTTAGTCGCATGTTGAATCATTCACTGTTTACTAACGATCATAGAAATAAATTTGCTGGAGGTTTCGTATGTTTAACTCACGCTTAGGTTAAAACTACGCTTGGATTTTTCAGGTTCCCAGAAAAGTATATTTCGATAAGACAATTTCATGACAGCTTGTAATGTATGTACCTTCTGATTTGTTGTTCAATCGTGGTATTCATTTTGTTACTTGTATTTCACAATGAATCAACAACTAAACAAGGTTTTTCTTCTCGAATAATTGAAGACATAAGGAAGCTACAGCAAGACCGTCGTTAATTTCAATTTAGAGCCCTTGAGTTGCAAGATCTTTGTGATCTCAAACAAGGAATCGCGTCTGCAAACGCCTAACCAACTTAAAAGTAGGATTTGGGCATTGTGGTAGCGTATAATCTCATATCATATTCTTGATACAATTATGAGAGATAACTTGTGCTCAAAACGTCATCTAGTTAATAGTGCTGTTTCACTGTGATAGACACAATAGGAGGAAAAAAATAGAATAGGATACAGTTACTTCTATCAACCATCGAACAACTTTAGGATTTCACCTAGATCAGTGAATACGGCTCTAGCTTTCAGCATACGTTTGATGACTATCAGCCACACCAAAAATAACTTCGATATGCTATCTTTCATCTGCGAGGGTGGGTGCAGATATGATTTCCCACCTATATTGCAAAGTAGCTTCCACTTTGTCGGTGCAAAGCACAGTTACGAATACCGATTAGTTACTACTTAAGTAGTTAGTGTTTTGTTGCATAGTAAGGTGATCTCTGCATACTCAAGGTAGCAGATCTAAACTACTGCTGTCATTCCTTCAAAACTGTCCATAGTGAGGTTGAAAAAGAATGACGAAATCGGTCAATCCCAACTTACTCAGCCGATGGTTGGAAGTGTGGAGATAGGTTGTCTGTTTTTGCTCTATCTGAAGTATTTCTGCATCAGTATACTGACACACCTCCTAGTCAAGAATATTCTCTCTGGTAAGCTGAAGTTATCTAACGATCTGAATATACCCTTAATACTACAAGACAGCAATTGTTGGTCTATACCGAGATGTGACAGCAGATGGCAGAGAATGGACATGTGGTCAGTACATGATGAACCTTAGACGAAACCTCGCCTCCTCGCGAACTGACTTTCGCGCGTTTTTTCCCTAGTTTACGATGTGCCGTAGTAACAAGTGTCTTGTAAGTACAGCCAGTGCTCACTGATACTTTCTGGAGGTGATCCACCTAGTATTAAGTCTCGCTCAATCTACTTACATTATTAACTGCAACCCTTTTTGGTACCACTATTTCGATGTCCATCGAACTTGGCAGACACTAAAGCGTGACTAGAGTCCGAATAGATTCTAAAGAAAGGATGGAAGTCGCGTAAAATCCACACAGGCAGCTAATTGGGCAAAGGCTTGAGTGCGAGAGAGAACTGGTTGGAGATAAACCACAACTGTATCGAAATTCAGTGCTTGTTAGAAGTAGGTGGTGCTACGCACAAAGCTGTCAGAGACCGACTAGTCTTCATTGACCACGTAAATGGCTGTCGTATGCGCCTAAGTGCCAGACCTGTGCATTTAACTCCGAGCTGACACTATGATATTTGTCAAGTGCATCTAGAAGAGAACGTCACTCAGTTGATGGCATCAGGGATGCAGTCTAGCACATCATACAGAGGGGTGACGAAGACATATCGTTTCTTGTCCAAATTACTTTTTACTCTAACCGAACGCGTAGTTTAACAGCACACAGAAGACCACTAGTGAGGACTTAATCCGTACACCATCGGCTAAAGTACTTAGGGTGATACCGGCACTGCTGAGATCAGATCCCGACACCATAGGATCCTCAGTTAGGTGCATATGACAGGTGGGGAGATATTTAAAAAAGTTCACAGGATAGGAAGTACATGATTCGTCTTTTAAAATACAGTGACATAGTATACTTCATAGGAATGGTGGCAACCCCAGAGTAATACAACATACCATTTGATTCAACCGTCAGTAAATCTAACCCGTTTGCACAATCACAAGTATAGAACTGACAAGTTAATTCTCACTAATATCAGGAGTCAAACGAAAGGAATTTTCAGCGTGCTTGGAATATATTGTGACCCCTCGTCCCCTGAATTGGTTCAACACAAACCGTACAAATAATTGGGGCCAGAATATGAAGGGGAAATATTTGGATCAAACTGTTAGACGGAGTACTGAAACGTTTTTTCCTCAAGTTAAAGGCTTGTGTAAGAAAATCTTATTTAGAAAATTCTTCTTGAGTCAAAGATCGAAACCTTAATCTCTGCTCGTAATAAGACTTATTTAGACTGCTGTGGCTACATGAATGGTTTTTTGAAGGAATGGCTAAGTGATACGAGTTTTTGAAGTACCTTCACTTTTTTTATTTGCACACACTATTATACAACAATAATTTCTAAAAAAAAGCATATAGAAGATGCTAAACTAATGCAAAGGAAGTCGTAGTTTGGTTGTTAGCATGATAAAAGTTGCCCCCAAATGCTCTGCCAAAGAAGTTCTACTCACTGCCTCCACGTGGCAGGGGTTATCACAGAGCTGAAAGGGTACAAGCGAGTCTCTTGCTTGTCACTGAGGGTCTACCTGGGGGATTTGGAACACCCTGATTTCAAACCAATGGTCCTCATGGGCTTCAGGTTCCAGATGGAACGAATGGCGTCTGAACCTATTTTGGTCAACGCAACCATGGGAATGCAGCATTTGATGTTGTTTCACTGCCTTGGGGATTAGACTTTAAGTCAAAAGCTCGGAAAGTGGTCACCTAAGACAACCGCATGCTTTGGTCTGGGCGCCCGGACAGTATCTCAGCCCTCATACAAGATGTGAATTTGATTGTATTTACATATGAACTATATTTTTTTTACTACCATTTTCACTTTTTTTTTAATCTCAACTTTACTCAGCTGCTTAGACCGTTTTGAGTCGATAAACAGCTGTCCACACAAAGCTGACCTCCAATGCGACATCTGACACAACTATCCTGAAATCACACATACTGTTTAAGCTCGCCAACTTTAATGGTCGCACCTTGACCCACATCGAACAACAGGCAGGCTTGGCTAAGACTCTGAAAAGCCTTGCTATTGATGTATGCTGCGTCTCAGAGACCCGCATACAAGATCGCAGTGAAGTACTGCAAATTAATTCCCCATCTGTCAGCTCGAAAAGTATGTTTTATGTACGCATATCCGTGGACCCTGTGGCATCGGTAACCGGTACCGCACTAAGCGCTCGAGCCGAAGTTGTACTACTAAACTCTGTTGTTGGACTAGAAGGTTCAACTCGAGTATGAAGTGGTAAGAGAAATGATGACTCCGTCATCTCTGCCCATGCTCCGACGGACTGCAGCCAAGGATGAATTCTACCATCAACTGAGTGACCCTCTCAACCAAGTGCGCTCGATAGATATCTTAGTGCTAGCTGGGGACTTGAATGAGCAGGTCGGGGGTCTAAGATCAGAGGAGAGTCGTTTAGGTGGCCAATAGGGACTGGTTGGTCGCAAGTCGGATAATGGGGATCGTCTTCTGGAGCTTTGCGCAGATCACTACCTATTTCCAGTCAGCATCAACTTTGGGCACAGTCATCGCCGTTGTGCTGCTTGGTATCCTCCCTCTATCACTCAAGCCTGGACTCAAATAGATCATACTGCAACCTGCTGCCGACGGCGTGGGTGCATACACAACCGTCGACCCATATAGAGTACTTGTCTGGATTCTGATCACGCTGTGGTGTGTGCTAAGCTCACCTTGAGTCTTGAAGTTCGTCAAAACCATCATCCTACACAGGTCGATTAAAGCAAAGAAGTTGCACCTAACATTGCAGCTAAATACCAATCCGAACTAGATTTAAAGCTGGCTACCAATCCTTCAGAAAGTGTAAACCATGCGATGAAAATGGCGAGTAAAGCCGCTTGCGGCTCGGAAGAACGTCCAGCTAATAAACACTAAGTCTCTATGAGCTCCCTGCAACTTCTTGACGCCCATTGGGCCATCCCCGCAAATAGAGAGTACAATGATTTGCGTAAGTCTCTTACACGAAAGATTGAACAACACTTACGCAGGAACCATTGGGCTTGGTGGTTAGAACGCGCGAGTGCGATAGAGGCAGTAGCTGCAACCGGCAACAGTCAGTGAAGAGATAAGAAACCAAGTCACCAGTAAAGCTGAAGGTTGTGTTTTTATTTGAGTTGGAGCCTTAAGCAAATGCTCCAGTGTTATGTTAGGTGTCATTATTAGTGTGAACTTCATGGTGAGTGAATGAAATACACTCAGTGGCCTTGTGCACATTCGTGCAGTAGGTAGTGAGCCACACCTATTGTGTGAGGCCATGTAATACTACCCGGCTAGCCAAATCTCGTTAGGTGGAACGGGGCTAGAACCCGTGACCCAAACGAATGAGCCACAGGTCCATACGGTCGGATGAAGTCATCTACTTAGACATAACGATTAACGACATTCTTCTCGGACATATAATTTTAGTTTGACGCGTTTTATTTTGTGGTGGCCTCGACGAGGAGAATATTTGAATTGTTCTGTGTGATTATCTTGAGTAACTTCTAAATATCTCTTCGGTTTCCTGTGCTTAGCAACTGCACTATTACTTACTCCCCCAATCATCGGCTCTTCAGAACGTTCAAAATATGTGAGGTGATCCTGTCTCTTTCCTAATTGGTCCTGCAGATACAGGTGAATCGGCATAGGTAATCGGAAGAGCGATCCCTTTTGATTTTTCATAGTACCCAAGAAAACGATGTTCGAACTAGGTTTCTTTTAGGGCTTTTTCTAGGCAGTGCAGTGCCCAGTCAGCAAAGCCTGTTATCCTAAAAGCAACTAATTTCATAAAAAC